TTTTTTGTAAATTTCTGTGATTATTCTCATTTACTACATTTGGCTTTGAAATACTGTATTTGAATGTTGAGAATGTCATTCCATAGGAATTCATAGCTAGTCCAAACTAAATAATGAAGGAGGAATATACTGAGAAAATTCAGCCAACCTAAATGCCTCCATTACGTCTTCCAGTTTAATTCTTTCTCTGTTATATTCCGAGGCCGGTTCTTTTGGGGATTCAGTTTGGTGAAAAGGATTAGCTTACTTATCTCTGTTTTTATTTTATTTTAAAGACAGAGTCTCACGGTGTTGGCCAGCATAGAGTACAGTCGCAGGATGATCTTGGCTCACTGCAACCTCCGCCTCCTTGGGTTCAAGCAATTCTCTCACCTCAGCCTCCTAAGTAGCTGGGATTATAGGTGTACACCACAACGCTTGGCTAATTTTTTTTTTTTTTTTTTNATTTTTAGTAGAGACAGGGCTTCACCATGTTGGCCAGGCTGGTCTTGAACTCCTGACCTCAAGTGATCTGCCTGCCTCAGCCTCCCAAAGTACTGAGATTACAGGTGTGAGCCACCATGCTTGACTTCTGTGTACTTTTTAGAATATGCTGCTTAGTTCTTATGAAATCAAAGGAAAGATTAAATGTCTTGATTAATTGTTTTATGTCTGTTCAAAAAAAGTTTAAGAAACATTGCTTTTGCTACATACACATATTCTTTCTTGGTAAAATTTCAATTTGTGATGCTTCTTGTTCTTATAAAGTCTGATGTGAGCGTCAAGCAAAAAGATGGTCACTTAACAAAGTAGATACAAGCCCTTGACTTGTTTGCTTAAATAAACCTGACAAATTGTAAACACCAAAGACTCTAATGACGTATATCTAATGTAAGATGAAGTCTGATTCAATTTTAAACTGTAGCCGTATGTCACTTAAAAATGGGAGTACATTCTGTGAAATGCATCAGGTAATTTTGTTTTATGAACCACACGGACCTTACTTACACAAACCTGGATGATACAGCCTCTTGCTCCTAGGCAGCAAACCTGTACAGCATATTACTTTATGAATTCTGTAGGCAGTTGTAACACATTGGTGTTTGTGTATCTAAACATACCTAAATACAGAAAGGGTACAGTAAAAATAAGATATAAAATGCTTTTTTAAAAAAGCTTACACCTATATAGGGCATTTATCGTAAGTGGCGCTTACAGAACTGGAAGTTTTTCTGGGTAATTCAGTGAGTAAGTGGTATGTGAATGTGAAGGCCTAGGACATTACAGTATACTGCTGTGGTCATCAGAAGCACTGTATACTTAGGCTACACTAAATTTATTTAAAAATTTTCATTCTTGAATAAATCTTAGCTTACTGTAACATTTTTACTTTATAACATTTTTAATTTTTTGAAATCTTTTAGACTCTTAACATTTGACTTAAACATGTACAGCTGTACAAAATATTTTCTTCCTTTATATTCATACTCAGTTTGTTTGAAAATTTTTATTTTTTTTACTTTTTAAATGTTTTTGTTTTGTTAAAAACTAAGATACACACATATATTTGCTTAGGTCTATCAAGACATCACTAGGCAGTAGGAATTTTTCAGCTTGTTTATAATCTTATGGGACCACAGTTGTATATATGGTCCATCATTGACTGAAATGTCATTATGCGGCACATGACTGTCGTTTTTAAAAATTTTTGTTTAGCAGATTGACTTTTTAGCATACGTTATAACTAGTAATTTCAATGTAATATTGACATATCCTCTTTGAAATTTATAGAAATTGATTTTTATATACCCTAACTTCTCTTCCAGGAGAAAGAGTGTATATAGTTTAACCTTTTCATGTCATCCATCCGTCCATCCATTCATATTAGTTCTTCCTCAGAGTATATCTTTTATCCAACTACTTCTCACCACCTGACAATTAGGCCATCATTATCTATCCCTGGCCTCCTAATGCATTTTCCTGCTTCCATTTTTATACCCTCTTTAGCCCATTCCTCATGGAGTAGCTAGGACATTTTTTTTTAAATATGCCAAATTAAGTTACCCTTAAGCTTCCCCTAAATCCTCTCTTGGTTTCCCATCTAACAATAAAATCCAGATTCTCTCAGGCTTGCAAGGTGCTATGTAGTCTAGCCCCAACAGTCTCTCTGATATCAGTTCCTACCTTCATCACTAAGTTGGTGCTGCTTGAGCCACACCAGCGAGGGGCTTACTGACCTTCTGAACTGAATGCTTTTCCTTCAGGCATTTGCCTGGTTAGTTACTTCTCTGCTTGTTTTCGTCCCAGTTTTACCCTCCCTGATTATTTTAAAATACTTCTACCCTGTTCCATCATTCTATGTAGAATAAAGGATAGGCACTTTAAAATTAAGTAAATCTAGCTTTATGAAAAGCTTGTGTTGTCTTTTTATCTTGTGATTTTGTCGTGGATTAGAATTCTTTGTCTCATCCCAGCACCCATCTCTGGATGGGAGCTTCCATTCGTGGGGGAGAGTAAAACACTCTCATTTCTCTCTCCCTCCCTCCTTCCCTCCCCTCCCCACTCTGTTTTTGTTTTGTTTTTATTTATTTGCTGAAGTCATGTAAGAATAATTAGTATTGTCACTGATATGTAATTCTGTGTTGAAGCACACAAAACTAATGAAGTGTGGCATGTTTTCTTTCACACACACAAACACACACACACAGAGAGAGAGAGAGAGAGAGAGAGAGAGAGAGAGAGAAAGACTCGAGACAATCTGGTATTGACGGAAAGGGAAGATTTCTTCATTTTCTTTTGCCTGGAACATTTTATATGTTTAATTTTGCCTTCAAACCAAACCTTTTTACAAGGTAGTAAGCATAAAAGTTTTAATTCTATACAATGAAAATTCTAGGAGTCAATAATTGGTCTTGATGATAAGTGTTATACAAACATTGTCAAAAGAAGAGTTTACTTTGTATCCATTTGAGCTTATTTATGTGTATAAAATTTGATGAGAGATGCCTTGGTATTCACCTGAAACTTTATTGAATTATGTACTTTTATGCATTTTCCATGTTTATTCTTAGACTTAGAGCTTAGTAGTGAACGTTCTGTAAAGATAGTTAAATGTGTCTTTAACTTTCACAAAAAAACCTTCTAAAATCTTATGTGTGTTGAATTTTAATTTGCAAGCTATAAACTGATTTTTTTTTGCCACTGTTTCCTTTTTGAAATTACTCACTAAAAAACATTATTTTCTCCCTAGCAGGGACTACTTAGGGAGCTGGTGGATAGGCATGTGGGATCCTGAAATAGCCTTCAGAGTTACAGAATAACATTCGGAGATTAGCCAGGAGTCTGCTTCCCAAAAAAGATTACGTACCTATGTTCTAATAAATTCTTAGTCCCTTAAAAAATATCTTTGTATATTTCACACCTCAAGCGATTACTCACCCAAAACCATATAGCAAAGTAATAGTTAGGCTTTCTTTAGACTTTATTTATACCCGACTGAATAGGTTTTTAGACCTCATTAGGAAAGCCAAATAGTTAAGTTTCTTACGTATTTAACAGGGAACTTAAAATGTATAACAAAACTTAAACAGCATGGGTGCTTTCAACAGAGCTACACATAAAGCTTGGCCTTTAAAATCTGCAGCATAGTTAACCGTGTCTACTGATATATAATAGTGACTACATAATTTTTTGAAATGAGACATGGAAATTGTTCACTTATTTACAATGGGAGAAAATATTCTTAGTCATAATGAATGTACAAGACAGATACCAAATTTGAGATGAGTTTTCTCCAAAAATGTGCTTGTGAAAAGACATAGTCACCTTGTATTCATGTCTTTACAATCTCTCCTCTCACTGACATTTGCTTTACTTTGATTTTCAAAGTACTGTTAGCAGAAAGGCACATTGACCTTAAATAACTTTAGTTAGTTAATAGTTTTGGTAATTTTATAGAGGTCACATTTTTAAAATAATTACAAATAAAAATTAGAACAGATTTCAATAGTTACAGTTGGCCATTCATACCCACGGGTTCTACATCTGTGGGTCAGCCAGTCACAGACTGAAAATATTTGGGAAAAAATAATGGATGGTTGTGTCTGTACTAAACATGTACAGACTGTTTTTTCTTGTAATTATTGTAATTATTTCCTGAACAATACAATGACTATTTATATAGCATTTACATTGTATTAGATGTCATAAGTAATCTAGAGATAAAGTATATGAAAGAATGTGTGTAAGTTATGTGCAAATAGTATATCATTTTATGTGAGAAAATTGAGCATCCGTGGATTTTTCCTTATCCACGAATGAGGGAAGAGGTCCTGGAACCATTTCATCACCAGATAACCAGGGACAACAATTTATGTTGGTGTGGACTTAAAATTGCTAGTATTGGATGTTATAAAGACTGGAAAAGCAAACGAATAAGCAGGATGTATCATTGAAATATAACTTTACACCAGTATGATCAATGAAAAATTGTACTCCTGTTATATGAGTGGGTACTTGCTTGAGATAAAATTTTAGTATGCCACTGTACACTTATTCAAAAAATGGTATATTTCAATAAACTTAGATTGTAAGGAAAGAAGAATGCTTGGGAAAACAGATAACTGAGAAAATAGGGTGATGACAAATACACAAATATGGAAGATACATGTGAATATTTTCAGTAGTTTAAACTTAATTTTTAAAAAATTCTGTGTATGGGAACATTATATTTGGGGTTGCCATTTTTGAAGAGTAAGTGATACTTAGTTTTTTAAAAGGAAGTGGAATTATTAAGATAGGCTTTATGTGATTCTCCTACTTTTAGGGCCTGGAAATAAACATCTAACACTTTATTGTTATAATCAGATTTATAACTTTATCACATGCCCCATTAGCCGTTAGTTGATCAATTTCTGTATCTTAGCAGTGTTCCTTTCATGTTCTGTTTTCCACATAGGAGTAAGATAAAACTGAACATTTTCCAAAATAGTACTCTTGATAAAAGTAATATTTTTGTTTAGGTGACAAACAGCATGTTTGGTGCTTCAAGAAAGAAGTTTGTAGAGGGGGTCGACAGTGACTACCATGACGAAAACATGTACTACAGCCAGTCTTCTATGTTTCCACATCGGTCAGAAAAAGATGTAAGTTAATCAGTTACGTTGTATTTTTTCAGCAGTGTAAGTCTGTGTCTGGGTTCCTGAAAAACAGCATATCAAGTGCAGAATAGTCTGGTTGGGTGACTATATTTTAGGCACGGTGCTAGTCCCTTGGGATATAAAGACAATGAACTTATATTCTAATGGGGAAAATAAATATCCTGTGATTCTCAAATTGGGATACAGTAATACTTTGGTAGAAGTACTCAAAGACATGGAGTAAACATGGTATATCTTCTAGATCATTGATATTTTGTTTGTTCAATATGGGAAATAACTTGTTTGATATTAAAACAAATGCAGGTATAGAATAGAAAGCAGATTCATGCAGACTTGAAGATCTAATGGCAAGCTGCAATAAAACTTTATGCTTACTGTGTCATCTAGCTGTAATTCTAGACCTCAGGTGTATTTCTCCTCTGTTTAGCCATAGGGATCCAACAATAGGAAAAATTTGGAAGAACTGTATTCAAAATGTGATGGATGATATAGAGATATGAATTTAATACTTTGGAAGGCTGATAGTTCAATAATTTCATTTGGGATAAAAGGATTTAGAATGCAGCCAAGTCACAATTAGCAAATTTATGAAGTATTTTCAAATGAATATGATTATTTAAATTCTGTTAAGCTACTTTAAATTATACACTATACACTATAGTCATATCAGGTGCCTTCTTATACTTTGTACATCTGCCCAACTTTTACCTTTCACATCTTTATAAACTTTCTATGCCTAATCTCCTTATGTATAAAACAATCTACTCTAGCTATTAACCTAATGAGATTTTTATTGATGTTTGAAGCATTTATAAAGTTCTAAGATATGTAATAAATGCCCTCATTTTTCTTTTATCATTAGTAAATCACTTCCTTTGTCTTTGCAAAATTTCCCGAATTGGCTTAACCTACTAGGTTTTATTTAGGACTTTTGTTTTTCTGTTTTGATATTTTTCTTTTTTATTTTTATTTTGATGTTTTTGTGTCATTTTGGAAACAATCAATGACATTGTTGGGCTTTTTTCAACTAATGTCTTTTGTGGCTTTGTTGAATTAGTGTGTAAATTGATAGCTTATGGAATAATGTCATGTAATATTCTGTTATCTTTCTGCCCTTTTAGCTATGTGCTATGTAGTGTAACTTGTAACTGAATTATTCTTTACATAGGTTTCTATTTTAAGTGTTGACCTTGTAAATAAAGAATTTGGGGTGTATTTTTGGTGGTATCACTGCCAAAACAAAAAACTACAACTTTTGTATGTTGGTATAATTATATAATGAAAGTTAAGTTTGCTTGGAAAATGTTAATAAAATACTTATTACTGATGAGATGCATTTATTCTAATTAGGAAGATAGGAAGTTCTCAGATTGAAATCTATAATAAAGTATATAAAGAGAACGAATGACAAAGAGATATATGTCTTCTGAAAAGCAGAAATGTCTATATGTCTAAATTTTAAAATCAGAATTAGTATATATACTTATATACTCACATGTGTTTGCCACCATTCTAATCTAGTTAGTTGCCACAGAAGTAACAGAATAGTTTGTGCCACAAAACATTTTTTAAAAAAGCATTATTAGGAACATCATATGGCATAGGAATTAAGAACTTGGACTTCAAAGCAATACAAATGTCTGTTTGGATCCTGACTTTGCCTGTGAGCAAGAACTTTTCCAAGTTTCAGCTTCCTTTTCTGTAAAAAAGGGGAGTAATAACATATTAGCTACCTCATAAATTGGCTGCTGTTGCTCTTTTTTAAAATTACAAAATAGCACAGGGAAATTATACACATTTTTGAAAATACACTTGAGAAGAAGAAAAATTACCTTTAGTGCTATCAGTTGGAAATAGTTTACTGCTAAAATTCTAATTTTATGCTTTATTTCAATTGAAAAACACATGGGCATTTAAATCTTCTGTGTCATACAGGCATATTTTCCATCAAAAAGTTTTTACCGGTTTTTACCCTAATGACCACTCTCCATGCCAATAAGAATACCAGTAATTGTCTTTAAGTCTTTGCTAGTAGACACGCTTATTGTTTTCATGTACATATAGTATAACATTGTTAATTTCACACACACATACGCAGTGTGATGTGTCTTTTCCACATAGTTGTCATTTGTATTTATTCTTTTGTGTGCCTTTTGATATCTTAAGTCTTGTTTGCATTCTCCGTATATTGAGGATAATAACCTCTTGTCATTCGTTACAAATATTTTCTGAGTTTTTCACCTTTAATTTAATTCATGGTATTTGTAGTATACATATATTTATCATTTTTATTAAATGTGATCCATCAGTCTTTTAAATGGCTTCTGTTTTTGAGGTCATACTTAGGAAGACATTTGTCAATTACTTTCTTATAGTGTTTTTATGTTTTGTTCTTCACCTGTAATTTATGTCCATGGGAAATGTGTTTTGGTTTGACCTGTGAATGGTAGGGTTCCAAATACTTTTTTTTTCTATAAAGTTATCCAATTGCCCCAACACCATTTATACTTTAAATAATGGGTCAGAAAACTGTCCCTTAAAGAACCAGATAGTAACTATTTAACGCTTTGTCAACCAAGAAGCAAAATCAAGGATATACATAAAACCAAAACCTATTATGTGTAATAGGTCTTTAACCATCTGTAATGTAAAATCTGTTCTTAGTTTATGTACCTTAGAAAAACAGGCAGTGTGTTGGATTCGTTCTGCAGGCAATAATATGCCCCCCCCGGGTTAGATCATTCATTTATGGCTAATTAAAATATTCCTTTATTATACGTACTGGTGTCTCATACATTCTGGGGCCTATTTCTGAACTCTTGTTCTGCTTACTGTACTGATTCTGTGTCAGAACCACAATGTAATTGAATTGCAATAGCTTTGTAGACCATTTTAATATCTTGGGTGAGACTCTTCCACATCCTTTTAAAAAAATAATGGGTTTTGATTGTTGCACATTAATATCAATATAGATGGTTTTTCAGAAGGATATTTCTCTCTTTAATCTTGTTCTCTATGCCTTTTAATAGGTAGGGTTTTGCAGTTGCCATTTTCATTGCATTTTTCAGATTGGTTTTTACTGACGTATGAAATACTTTGTGTATTTATTTTTATAATAAACTGCCATGTAAAAACTCTTATTAGTTTTTGGTGATTGAGAATGTAGGCCCTGGAAATCCTACCACTGAGTTTTTATCTCAGCTACCTGATTTGTAGCTGTGTGTCTTAGGATATCAGTCTCTGTGTGTCTCAGTTTTCTCATCTGTAAAATAGGAACAATAGTACATGGCTCATGAAGGATTTTTTTTTTTTTTTTAAGTGGGAGAATAGCCGGTATTTGTGAGGAGGGCACTGAAGTGACTGCTGTAGAAATATAATTAAGACAGACTGTAGAAAACAGGTTAGCAACGGAATAGTCGGTATTTGTGAGGAGGGCACTGAAGTGACTGCTTTAGAAGTGTAATTAAGACAGACTGTAGAAAACAGGTTAGCAATGAATATTAAAAACCTTTAAAATGTAAACATTCCTTGAGTCAGTGATGTCTTTCCGCAAATTTGAGCTTCAGCTGTAACCTGACATTCAGACAGTATAATACAATGACATACTTTTTTAAATAAAAAATTTGAGTCTCAAGTGTTTAATACTAAGGAATTAACTACATTGAGTGTAATAGTATTTTTCAAATGTTCCTTATGTAAGTGTAAGAATATTTTAATGAAAATTATTTGAAATACCTAGTAAACACATATTGTCAGTTATCGGATTTGTAAGCTACCAGGTACTGTGACTTATGACCGTTTTATTTTTCTGCCTGCCTCCTTTGCCCCTTTCCCCTTTCCCCTTTTGTTCTTTTTTTAATGTATTACCTTTTCATAGTCTTTTTTTGTTCCTGTTTGTTAGATTTCATTAGTTTCATTTTTTAAGTCATCCGTTATCCAATTTTAAAGGTTCCTTAGCTTCTGTCTAGATCTGGAACTCTATGTGTGTGCAGTGCATATGCTTTCTTCCTTTTACTTGTCTCTTTTTCTCTTTGTAGATATGATACAGTTAAAAGCCATAATTCATTTGTAGTTTTGTCCTGGAATAATAACATAGTGCTAGGAATTATGTTATAACTCAGAGTATATTATACTATGTCTTTTTAAAATAATATTTTAAAACTTAAATATCATTTTTTTAATTGCTGTTGTGGTCAGGGAAGTTTTATTTAACAAAATTTTTTGTCATATTTCCTTGAAGTAATTTGTGGATTTCTTTGACATTTTGTACGTTAAATGATAAAGGAGCTTTGTGGTAGGTTAGGGAAATAACCAGAACCACATTACTGTTTCTGCTTCTTGCTTCCTGATTTTTATTTTTGTTGTTTGACTGCAGTGTGTATTGTAGATTTCTGAGAGATGTGCAAGACCTGATTATTTTGGACTGTAACTTGTTTTCAGCATCCTATTAATCTTTTTTCTACCTTTTGCTACTCTTAAGAACACAAGTTCTACATCTTATTTTACCTGGAATTTGTGAAGATAAACTTCTTTCTTTAGTCCCTTGGGCAAAAAAATGTTTAAATTAAAGATATTATTTAATAAATTTCCCAGAGTCTGAATGCCCCCTCTTACTCCTGTTAATGAGAGTTCTGCAACTGTGAGGGGAAGATTAGATTATTAGCAGCTGCTGCTACCATTTATTGAGCACATACTATATGCCGTATCTTATTTCGTTTAACCTTCACTTCAACTCTATGAGGAAGGTAGTTATTTTCATTTTATAGAAAAGAAACCAAGTATTGGCTGTTCGGGTAAGTGACAGAACTAGGATTCAGACCCAGATTATTTCTGACTCCAAAGCTAGGCTCTTTCTACGTAGGCCGCATCCCCTACTGTAATATGTTTCTTTATCTAAAGTTTTATATTTTTCTAAGAAATTTACCTTTATATTATTAATTTTCAGAATTTAAAAATATGTGAATTTTGTTTTCTGTTAACAGTAGTTACTGTTGTCAGAGTATATTTCTTGTGCATTTTCTATACTCAAAAAGCATTTCTGTGACATTTACATTTCTTCACTGTGTGTTAAATCCATTTTTAGCACTGGTTTATTTCATGAAGTATTACCTTCAGAATTTAAAAGTACAAATTATTAGGGATATACTTTATAATAAATAAGATATTTTCATTTTTGACACATTTGGGTGCAGTATTTTAACATATGTCTGACAGCTGATGCTTGTTTTACGTGAATGTGTTGAAGGTTATAAACTTTTAAATTTAACATTAAACTACTTTTATATTCCTGTAAAGCTGTGTTCACTAAACAACTTCATGTAGTGGCACATAGAGAAAATCATATTTAATATTACACACTATGGAAAGTGAATCAACCTACTACTCTCAGTCTCAAGTAATTGACCTAGGGACCTACCACTTCTACCTTCATGCTCTGCCTCCCCTCTTTACTTACTTCCTCCTGCCATCCTGAGAGGGCAGATACCCAGGCATACCTGTAACTCATGAATGTATAATTAGTGTTAGAAAGTAGACTAAAATGTGTGTTGTCTGGAGTTATTTCAATAAACGTAAATATCTGAGAAAGAAAAGTTTTAAGTGTTTTGTTTGACAGTGTTCACATTATGGATTGTTCTAAGTCATGAATTTATGTTGGCCAGCATCTTATATTTGCAGCCTTTAGAAACAACTATACTTTTTCATTTATAGTTTATAATGACAGAAAATCATGATTCTTTAGAATTTTATATAAACCCTTTACCTCCTTTTTTATTTTTGATGGTTGATTTGTATTAATATTAGGAAAACCAGATTTTAAATCAAGCATTATTTGGAATAAAGAAGGCCACTACATAATCATAAAAGCAAACTTACTAAAATGGACAAAACGGCCGGGCGCAGTGGCTCTTGTTTGTAATTCCAGCACTTTGGTAGGCTGAGGCAGGTGGATCATGAGGTCAAGAGATCGAGACCATCCTGGCCAACATTGTGAAACCCCATCTCTACTACAAATACAAAAATTAGCTGGGCGCAGTGGTATGCCCCTGTAGTCCTAGCTACTTGGGAGGCTGAGGCAGGAGAATTGCTTGAACCAGCGAGGTGGAGGTTGCAGTGAGCCAAAAATCGCGCCACTTCATTCCATCCTGGCGAAAGAGTGAGACTCCGTCTCAAAAAAGAAAAAGGATAATACTTTCTTTTTTTTTTTTAATTCTTAATTTTTTTTAATTTTAATTTTTTTTTTTAAATTTGAGTTCCGGGATACATGTGCAGAATGTGCAAGTTAGTTACATGGGTATACATATGCCATAAACTTTTTACCTTCTGTCATCAACTAAAGCTTTATTATATATTCTTGTTCTTGAAATTTGGAAATGAACTTTTAATAGACTTACAAAATATTTCCAGTTAATGCAGTAAGAGTAATCTGTATTACCTAAGGAAAGAGCTTATCAGGAATCTTTTGATCTGTTGGGTTATATTTAATTGTATAGATAAAGAATGTTTATGAACAATGAGAACACATGGACACAGGGAGGGGAGCATCACACACTGGGGTCTGTTGTGGGGAGACTGGGGAGTGACAGCAGGGGTGGGGAGGGATAACATGGGGAGAAATGCCAGTTATAGGTGATGGAGGGATGGAGGCAGCAAACCACCTTGCCATGTATGTACCTGTGCAACAGTCCTGCGTGATCTGCACATGTACCCTAGAACCTAAAATACAATTAAAAAATAAGAATGTTTAATTGTCTAGGTTGCACATCCTCTGGATTTGAGAGGGAATATTTATAAGGTTTGATGCTTTTTTAGAAAAATCACTACTGTTTTATTACTGCTTTTTTTTTTTTTTTTTTAGAGTGGAGTATAACTCAGCCCTCCCTCAGGAGTATCTACTGTTTATCATTGGTTTAAAAATACAGTTGTATAAAAAATCTTGTGAACTTTAATATAATTATATAATTAAAACAACTTTGAATTTAGATATGAAAATAGTATGAAACATATATTGTAAAACCTCTATCATTTAAGTGTTTCACCTCTCAGCACCACAAGACAGGGTGAGAAAACAAACAAAAAATACATGTTTCACTTCTTGATTTTTCTAACTGTGGTCAGCGTCAGCATGATTTTGCATCCCTGGAACCCACAAAGCAGCCTCTGATAGTTCTCTCTTTTGTGAGTCTCCATTCACCTCCTTTTCCCATTATACCCCAACTAGTCAACAGGACATAAAATAACTTACTTCTACCACCAGAATGCCTCCATTTGTAGTCTCACTTCTGCTGCTGTTGTTTAGTATCTCAGCATATCCCATTTCTGCTCTTAGAATTATCTTCCCAAAGCCCATTTTGATTGTCACATTCTTGCTTAATGTTATTTTTCTTTGTATTGCTATAGTGGTAGCCATTCTTCTGTGACATTTATTTCCCATTCTTCTATGCCCAAACAGGGATGAACTTCATCTCCTAATCGAGTTGAACGTTATCTCCTTTCATAGTTATCCTGCCACCACTGTTTATGTTTTCTAATCATATTGCAAACCTTTATTTTTCTTAACAACTAGATACCAGATTTTTTTTGTTCATTTTTATTTTTGTTAAATTTGTTAAAAATTTCAGTAGTTTTGGGGATACAAGTGATTTTTTTATTACATGATTAAATTTTATTATACTTACTGCATATTCTTAAAGGAAGACCCCCTCATTGTATGTACCTAAATGTTACCACTCTTTATAAAAGTATTCCTGATACCTTTATGTAGCTTAATTTCCTCCAGTGATGTTTCATGTTTCCTTTAGAGCATTTACCACACTGCACTTTAAGATACAATTAATTGTATAATTTGTTCTCTTTCCCCACTAGATTGTAAGCGCCTTTATGACATGGCTCATGTCTTATATAAGATGTTTTGATGGTTTCTAATATAAGACAGGAAATACACAAATACGCACACACATATTTTCCCTTACTCAGCTGAAGTATTTACTTTGAGTATATAGCACTGCCACATTCATTTCTATGAGGATATATAAAATGAATGTATGTTCTATGATATATCTTCAGATTTACATCTACAAGGAAACAAACATTGATAAAGTAAAATCAAAGGCATTGTACAAGTGCCATGAAGTTCCTATCACTAACAAATATATAAATTATATACCATGTTTATATAATTTTAGTTTCTTAATTTGTTAAGTGAAATAGTAGTGCTGCTATAGTTCAAGTTAGAGTGACTTTTATAAAACTTACAGTATTAAAAATTAATTTCATTCACACAGTTTGGTTTTATCCAATTGTGATATTCTCTTAAGAAACATGGAATCTATTATAAAATGTTTATTTATGTTTTTCTGAAGAATGAGAAAAACGAGTTAAGATTTTCACTTTGATGGTATGATTTACAGATTTGTAGCCTATAAATGCAATACCTGTTTTCTTTATGCTCTAATATAATTAATTTGTTTCTAGATGCTGGCATCACCATCTACATCAGGTCAGCTGTCTCAGTTTGGGGCAAGTTTATACGGGCAACAAAGTAAGAATTTTGTATTTATTCTGGGATACTTTATTTAAATAGAAAAATAAGTAATTACCAAATAAAGAACAACCAGTGCTTCCTTTGTGGGTTTATTGTATGATTTAAAAGGAAAGATGTTTAATTTTCAGATTTTATTTTACTTACACGGCAAAACCTCATAATTTCAGACCTTATTGATCCTAAGGTTGCTATTACTTCGATACAGCGTAGATTGAAATTTATTTCAACATCTTTTATATCTATTTTTTTTGCGGTATTTTTGAAGAGGAATTTGCTAAACAAACTAAAAATAGATATTCTCTGTGTTTTTAATTAAAGGAAGTTAAAAGCTTTTTTTAGTTTATTTGGTTAGCTACTGTGTGTGTGTGTGTGTGTGTGTGTGTGTGTGTGTGCGCGCGCGCCTGTTTACTAAGTAAGCTCATTACTTAGCGGTTTGTAAAATATTCTTTGTTTCACAAATATTTCTTAAATATATCTTCTTTTGCTTTAGCTCAGTCTGGATATAGAAACTAGATTTTTGACTCACAGTTCAATGCTTTTTCCATTATGTAAGCTTCTGTTTTTTTTAAGGTGTTGTAATACTTTTAAAGCGCTTAGCACAGAGCCTAGTGCATAGTAAGTGCTCAATAAATGTCAGCTATTATTATCACATAAAATTTTTATAAAACTAAACTATAAAATATCTTCATATTTTCTCAAATTAATTTTCCAAATTGTTGCATATTAGAATGATTTTATCGTCTCTGTTAATGTCAGATCTGTTGATCTCCCATTTCCATTAATGTCATCTCTGTTAATAGAAGGGAATTAAAAGTGTAAATTTCCATCAGACATTATAGGATAATTGAATAGCTGAAGAAGACATCTGATGACTATCTTAACCAGTTTCAAATAAAAATCAATAATTTGATTTGGAACTCTCCCAGTATAATGAAAAGCAAAGTTTTGATAGGTATCAGAATAGTTTGTCATACCACTTTACCCTTCAAATTGATTTGAAGTGGGAGGATGAAACTTATTTTGTATACAACCATGGTTTCCATTTACTTTTTTCTGTCTCTCCTTTGTGGCTTTTCTCTTTTGCTGTGGAACACAATTTTGTTAATATAGAATTAGTAGATAAAAGTTATTAACTCTATATTAACAGTTTCTCTAAACCAAGAAACATATTTTTAAAGCTTACTGCATTTAAAAATGTTGTTTATCTACAAATATTTATCCTAGTTGTTGAAGGACTATTATTAGCTAATAGTTTGTTCTGGTTACCCTGTGTTTTAGTATGGCTTTCGCCCTTCTGGTAACCCTTGCTATAGAGGTATCTCGCTATTTTAAAGCTACCTTTTATTTTTTTAGAGCAGCTGCAAAGAGCTTACTTTATCTTTTGGAAGATCACCGTTTATCACAACAGAAAGTAGATATGGATTGGAGAAAAATTGCATTTGAGAAACTAAGGTTATTTTATAAAGGATAATGGCAATTATTATAGTTACAATCAGCTATCTGGACTTTTAAAAATTCTGATCTAATTTTTTTAACCTACAAATATGAAATTGTAACTGGGCTAGATATGGAATGGGTAAGGTTTGAAATAGTTATATCATTGGTATGCTAGACATTTATGCCTTTGTTTTTAAGGACATACAAAGATTAATACATGAGCAAATTTATTTTCATTAGAAAAAAAATTTTTAAGGTACTCGTTTCAAAAGAAGCCATTTCCTATTGGAGTTCAGTGTATTAAATAGCTTTATTCCTATAACATTGCTGAAGCAACATTTTGAATGTATGGCTTACTCTTTTAAAATGACATTTTATGTGTTAGAGTACAGAAAAATTGAACCTTAGATCAACTGAAACTGAAATGTTTCTGTTCGGGGTGTAATTATTTCTTTCCAAGATATAGATCTAGAAGCTATAGCTAGTGGAAAAAAGAAAGAGTCTGGGTTGCCAATTTCCGTCTGTTATGAAAGACCCGAGAGGCCAAATAGGTCATTTGGCTGGTAGATAGTCTGAACAAACACCTTTTAAGACAGCAGAACACAAGCTACCATGTAGGGCTTGAGGGTTAAGGTTTTATTAATTTAAGTCAGAATGGTAAAACTTAAGGGACTGACTTGGATGAAGGATGGAGAGAAAAGGTATCAGTAGGTGGGTGTAGATTAGACATATTATTCTTACAGCAACTTATTGGTAATTGCACATTGAGATTGGTGTAACTACAATTTCTTTTGTTTCCCAAGTGCATTGAGTCCTACTGTTAACTCTGTTCAGTTGGCAAAGTTTAATTGTAATTTGTGCCCTTATAGTGTGAGATCTACTGTCTGTTGTGTGTTCTTGGTGGTTAGAAGGGTTAAGGGTGGAAGAGATACAGAAGGAAAAGTACCTTCTCTAGAAGTAAGACTCACCAAGATTAAACAAGAAAGGGAATTCCTCTTGGAATAGATACATAACTGCTTAAACTTAGATTTGGCTAGATTTGGGTGGAAGTGATTATGCAGTGCCATGAGGTTGCCAGAAAATGCTGGAGCAGAGACTTACATGGTCTTTGGTTCTAGTATAGTGTGATTGTATGCAAATACGTAAGGAATTTTCATCCAAGAGTTCATGTGAATACTGTGCATGGAATGATAACTATAGGAACCAGTGAACATACTCTTGTATTCAAATTGTATACTCTTTCCTATTTGTTTTATTTGAGTGTATGCGTAAGCTTTTAGGCACGTTAAGTCCTTACTTAACTGATAAGTTTTTCAAACTGCGACTTGGAGCAAAACTACATATGACAAAACCAATTTTTTTTTGTTCTCATCAACATTACAATGGAATGATGTTGAATGAAACAACGCTATTCAAGGACTTGCTGTATGTTGTTTTGCCTAAAATCACAGTTTCTAAGAATGATCAGTGGCATTAAGTGAGGACTTACTGTATACCTTATAGGCTTAAAGACCCACGAACTCCCAGAAGCTGTCTCCTAGATTAGAATGAATAGGAAACAAGGAATTAATTTCTCCTGGATAGTCAATGCATTGGAATTAAGTCGTTGATAGTTGCAGTTACCTTTTCTTACTTACCAGCAGGATCTAGGGCCTTGCAAAATTGGAGAAAAAGGAAACTGTCATTTCCACATAGTGCTTTCTGTGTGCATATTATCTTACAGGCACATGGCTTAGCTAAATATATGGGTGAATTCATTACACAAATTTGTATCTGAATTCCCAGAGAACCCGGGCATCTAGTTGGAAGAGGAACTAAATCTGTCTTTTTACGCGCTGGACTCCTAGCTTGAGAGCAATGACATAGTCTCATGCTTCCAACAGACATTTCTTTGGCCTCCTGTGAAGTCTGCTTGCTTCATAGAGAATGGGAGCACAGGTGGAGTGGTTCAGAAGTGATGCTATCCGCTATGTAAATAGGCGTATGACATTTTGGTTACTGTAGGAAATTATGGGACCATTGAAAAGATACTAAATGCTTGGTAATAAGTACAGAGTGCTTTGGGCTTTCTTGCACTCTTGAACATGTGTTTTATAGTTGTGGAAGATAGGTCATGTTTATATGTAAAATATTAAATAACAGCCTATGATGCTAACATAGATTAAAAGATACCATGTGGTGAATGGTGTAGACAGACTTTTAGGGAGCAAAATCTGTCTATGCCATTCTCCTTAGAGAGAACAACAACAACAACAAAAAAGTAAGCTATAGTGGTATGGAAAAGCTTCAAAAAGTAGGAATTAAAGTTAACAGATACTTATTGGGTCCCTACTGTACATGTTGTGCCATGCTAGATACTGCAGATGTGTGGTGTGGTAGAAGAGATCATCCTCATTTATGCCATCTCTGCATAGTGTACCTACTGCTGTGATGTTGCTGCATTATTTATTGCATGTCTTCATTGCCTTTGTATCCTCAGTACTCTGCACATGACAAGCACTCAGTAAATGTTGAATGCATGATGAACAAGGTGCAGTCTAATAGGATAAGTACACAAGTGATTTTACTACATAGTAGAGTAAGAAGTTCAGGGTTATTTGGGTATTTCATTTGAAATAGGGCACATTCAGGATGGTACGCCTGTAGACTATTTGGATGTTTCAAAGGCAGGAGTAATCACCTATCTTGAAAAATGATCAAGAAAAGACTTTTCTGATGAGATTATATTTGAGATTAGCATTGAACAGACTGTGAGTAAAGTTGTTTTAGCAATGAGAATAACATCCACAGCATGGGATAGATTTAGGAATGGCATACTTTATCAGGGCGGGAAACCTGTTAGGCTGTTACATTAATTTCAGCAATAAGTACAATCTTCACATTTCTGAGAGATTTATCTCAAATCATTGCTACCTTCCAAGTTCAAGAACAGAGCTATAGAATATTTTCCTTCATAAAACATCTGTTTTCTGGTGAAAACTATCACTTCATTAGACTATTTCATTTTATCTTCACTTTTGGTATCACCTGTTGGCTTTCTTTGCATAGTTATGTCACACACACACACACACACACACACACACACACACACACACAGAGCTAATATTTATTGAGAATTATTTACTGTATGTCGGATGCTATTTTAAGTATTTATGTGAATTAACTCGTTAAACCTTCTCAACAGCTCTGTAGAGGTTAAGGAATTTGCTAAAAGTTACACAGAATAGTAAGTAGTAGAGCCAGGATTATATTACTTTGTAAGAGAAACCATGTAAACATGAGCTGAAAACATCCGTTTCTTTTAAACCTGAATGCCATGACCCTAGAAAGCCATTGTACATAGTAGAAACTACCATTGTTAAATCCACAGATGCCAAGAGTCTGTTGAACTAAGACATTGTGATAGAATTTATTCATTCTAATAATTATGTATTTATTGGATGCCTACAATGAATGAGGTATTATTCCAAGATACAAGTAAGAATATGGCAAATAACACATTTCCTGTTTTTATGGAGAGAGAGAGAGAGAATGTTATTACTACTGCAGAAATCGAGGCA